CTATTTAATTATTTACGAACATACAAACCCGAAATACCTATGCTAATTACCTGTCATTCTTTCTCTTTGTCTTAATATCAATGAAGATGAATTGCAATGGCTAACTTATTTTTTTTCTTCGTTGCAGGAGGTTGCACGCGTAGAGGACCGGATTAACCACAAGGTAAGTGATACTTTTTTTTTTTTTTTGGCTCACTGTATTGTTTGTTAATATTATGGGGAAAAAAAAGTTGTTGCATATTTGTTGATATATGTAACAACTGCCGAGTGTCTGTGTCTGTGTGAATAGTTGAGTTACATGATTTTTAGATAAGAACGTCGGTTATAGTCAGGATACTAAGGATGATAAAGCAGAAAGATATATTGCGATTATATATATATTTTTTTTCTTTTCTTTTTTTTTCTTTATTTAAAAGGAAAGCCGGAAACAAATATCATAACAGGAACGGCCGATCACACGCGTACCAACCCCCACGCATTCCCCACGCCCACTCTACTTCGATCGAACTCCCGATAACCGACTACTTATTACATGAACATTAAAACATAGGACTAAAAAAAAAAAAAAAAAAGGAAAAATAAAAAAACTAGTATTCATGTAATGAATGGATCATTTTTTTTTATGTAAGGAAGAACAGCTGCCGGTGAGATAACACCTGTTTCCATACGCATGTAGACTGCACAAGTTGGTATTCCTGACTAAGCGATGTTGGTGGAGGGAGGGAGGGGGGGAGGGGAGGCGGGAAGAAGGGAATCGATGTTTTGTATTTAAGAGATAGATTTAAAAAAAAAAGAAAATCCTTGATATCTGAGTTTATCTGTTTTGTTTATCCGTACTTGTCTCTTTATCTTCCTTTTCCCTTTATTCCAGAATTTATCCGTCAGTGTATTCACACCTGTCTCTTTATCTCCCTGTATCTATAATTATTAATATGCTCTGTTGCTGTATCTATATATATATATGTATCTTTTAGTATATGAATATATAAGCATCATGGCAGGAAAAAACACAATGCACAATTTAGTTTATTTGTGTTTTTCAATTCATAGACATACATAGGCCTACAAATAAATATTTATATATCCAAATTTTCGTTTTCTGTTTATCGTATTTTTATCATATGTTTATAAATACGCGGATTATTTATACAAGTGCTGTGAAGCGATGTCGTACAGAAGAAATTAAAAGGTATTTTTTCCCTAATTTTGTGGTGCCGGTTCAATAATTTCTCGGTTAACAATGATAACAATGCGTTGTTCACAATGAACGTAAGTTTGTTTGTGTGTGTGTGTGTGTGTTTCTCTGCCTCTCTCTCTCTCTCTTTCTCTCTCTCTCTCTCTCTCTCTCTCTCTCTCTCTCTCTCTCTCTCCTTCCCTCTCCCTCTCCCTCTCCCTCCTTCCCTCTCCCTCTCCCTCTCCCTCCTTCCCTCTCCCACTCCCTCTCCCTCCCTCCCTCCCTCCCTCTCTCCCTTCTTTTCTTTCTCCTCCTCTTCTTTATCCCTCTCTTTCTTTCTCTTTCCTTTACCAACAGCCACATAGCAACCACGCACTACCGCCCACGAATCGAAAAATCTATGAACTATCTGACTTCCGCGTGATTCTCTGCCGCCCACACCCGCCATCCGCCCGCGAAATGGTCAGTTGCATTGTTGATTTATGCAACGTTTCTTTTGCACTTAGGTCTGGCTGTGTTTTTTATGGTTTGATTGGTATGTGGGTATAGGGTAGGGTCTTTCTTTCTCTGTCTGTCTGTCTGTCTCTGTCCCTCTCTCTATCTCTCTTTCTCTCCTCGCCTTTGTCAGTCTGTCTTTCTTTGTCTCTCTCTCTCTCTCTCTCTCTCTCTCTCTCTCTCTCTCTCTCTCTCTCTCTCTCTCTCTCTCTCTCTCTCTCTCTCTCTCTCCTCTCTCTCTCTCTCTCTCCTCTCTCTCTCTCTCTCTCTCTCTCTCTCCTCTTTCTCCTCTCTCTCCCTCCCTCCCTCCTCTCTCTCTCTCTCTCTCTCTCTCTCTCTCTCTCTCTCTCTCTCTCTCTCCTCTCTTTCTCTCTCTCTCTCTCTCTCTCGATCCCTCCCTCCCTCCCTCTCTCTCTTTCCCTCTCTCTCTTTCCCTCTCTCTCTCTCCCTCCCTCTCTCCCTCCCTCCCTCTCTCTCTCTCTCTCTCTCTCCTCTCTCTCCTCTCTTTCTCTCTTTCTCTCTCTCTCTCTCTCTCTCTCTCTTTGTATTTTTTATGGGAGTGGGAAAAGACTGTGCTGTTAAATATTCAAATTTGTTATTATATTTTCTTATCAGTTGTTATTTTATGGCAGTCACTTTTATTATTTTTTATGTCTAAAGATTTCCTAAACAATTTTTTTTGTGGTTTGAATATTTTTTTTCTTCCTTTTATCGTGTATTTTCCAGCTGTATTTTACACCATAGGTCAAGGGAAAAAAAATAATATGCTTATATAACAATTCTATTTAATTATTTACGAACATACAAACCCGAAATACCTATGCTAATTACCTGTCAATCTCTCTCTTTGTCTTAATATCAATGAAGATGAATT